CATGAGGCGAAGAGGTTTCAGAGGGAAGAAGCAAGAGCCCAGGCGAGGGCAGAGCTTGGGCAAAGGTGGGGAGGTGGGGACAGGTATGGGGGACCCCCAAGCTGTTCCCGGCACTGGTCAGGGGTCCCGGGAGGGTAGGCACTAGCTATACATCCTTAAAGGCCTGTATCCGCAGGGCTGTGTTCTGGGGCCACTGGTGGATCTTCAGCACAAAGAGCCAAGACTGTATTTACACTTTAAAATTCTGTCTCCAAAGACCAGGTGTCGGAAAGATGGTGCGGACAGGACCGGAGCCCAGCAGAGTCCGAGAGACACAGGTGGTGCGTGATAAGCGGGGAGGAGGAGGAATGGACTCAAGAGCTATTTGGGGGTACAGTGACTCAGACTTGGCGACAGCTTTGTTCTCAGCAGGAAGGGGTGAACATAGCCCCTGGCCTGAATTAATTAAACAATGAGAGAGTTCAGTGCAAACTCTTCTCTATTTCGTGAAAATCAAATAACACATTTCCCTTGGGGAGGAGACAAAGGTCAAAGGCAGGAATCGATTTTTTTTTTTAAAGTAACCACTGCCCTGGAGCAGACAGCATCCTCTGCGTTCCCCGCGCAGCCAGGTGCCGCATCTGCTCCTCGCAGATGCTATTTATGCACAGCGATTATCTCAATTACATGTCTTGGTTGTTGGAACTGCTCCTGTCTCCAGATTAGTTTGTTTCCAGTGGAAACATGTCATGGGAATTAATTAGTAATTGGCTCCTGAAGAACAGGTGTCATTAGATAACCCGACACATGGCCCCGTCTACCTGTTCCACGAGGTCTTGTAAAAGCGTGTGCCCAGACACCAGTGTGGGACAGGGAGCCAGTGGGGAGCTGTGTGCGTTAAGCTAGTTTTCAGCTGAGAGAACTGTTTCAAATCTGTGGTCTGGGGTCCTTTCTATCAGTCTAAGAAGTTAGAAACATCACCCCCTTCTTAAAAAAATGTTTTTATTGACTTCAGAGAGGAAGGGAGAAGGAGAGACAGAAACATCAATGATGAGAGAGAATCATTGATTGGCTGCCTCCCGCACGCCCTCTACTGGGGATCGAGCCTGCAACCTGGGCATGTGCCCTTGACCGGAATCGAATCCACGATCCTTCAGTCCCCAGCCCAATACTCTATCCACTAAGTCAAACTGACTAGGGCACCCCCTTTTTAGGTGGCAAAAAGGAGGCTCTGAAAGGCAGTGACTTCCCCCAAATAATACAGCTAGTTAGGTAGCGGTGGCAGGATTCGAACCCAAAGAGGCGTATTTTTCTGCCTCCCTCCAGGAAGCCTCTGTGTTTTATCACCAGGGTCTTAAACCTCAGTTATTAACTGAGACAGAGCCAGGCTCCCAGTGGAGGGAAACTGGGCAGAAAGAGCCACATAATTTCCTCAGGACTGCAGATGGGGCCTGGGCACCCTGGCCCTATGGGCGGAATGAAGATGCTCTGTCTCCAGGGCCTTCCGTGCCTCTAGCTGAGCCGGGCTCGCCACTGGTGCTGCAGCTAGACCGGGAACCCTGCCATTTTCCAAGCACTCTGACCAGGCCCTTCTCTGCTCTCAGCTCGCTATGGCTCCCTGTCACCCTTGGGATCGAGCCCAAACTCCTTAGCCAGGCTCTAACCCACTCGTGAGCGGGCTCCAGCCTCAGTTACCCACAGTGCCCTCTCTGCCCTCCCCCCTGGGAACCTCGAGCACAATACTTCCTGTGTCTACATGCCCCACCCCTTCGCGCTCTGTTGCTTCCTAGCAGGGCTGTGAGCATCTTACTACCCAGCAATTCATTTCCCTCTTTAAAGACATAGCTGAAGCCACCAGCTCCTCTCCCACAGCTAAAGTAAGGGCACCCTCTTTAGCTAAACCCGACACGCCACCGTTATACTGCTCATCACCCCGCTCAACAACAGTCTGCTTCCTGGGTCGAGGGCAGGACCTTGTGGTCTCCTCTCCCTGCCTTCTGGCCTCGAATCTATCCCAGAGTGGAGGCCGAATCAATATTTGCTGAATGCCTGCAGTTATCTAGTAGGTGCGATCAAACACTTCCCCATCCTCAGGCTGATGGGGTAAACCGTTCTGAGGTTAACCACAGCCGCGGTTAGCGAGCTGTAAAGGCTGCAACGTGCGCTCCAGTTCCCGAAGCCCTCACTGGCGTGGCCCCATTGGCCTCGGCAGGTCCCTGGGACGCCAAGCAATGTCACTCCACTTTAGGAAAAGGGCTCGAGGCGGTCCCGTCACTTGTTGAAGGTCACAAAATTAACAAATGCCGGGGCCATTTCTCTGAACTCAAAATTTCATTGTACAAGCGGATGAACGCTAGTGTAAGCTCGCTGTCCGTTTTCTCATCGGCAAAACAGATGTGCTGCTGCAGAACAGGAAGGGTTTTTTTGAGGAATAAAGAAGTCCCATGGCTTCCAAATGCTGGGCCTAAAAGCAGCATCAGAATCTCCTGATGTGATGTTTAAAAATGTAAATCCTGGGTCCCAGCCCAGATTAAAATATATACATGGATGGGATCCAGAAATTTGTGATTTGTAGCTAACATGTAAGCTATCTGATGTGCAGCCAAGTCCGGGGGCCCCGAGACACCTGGAAAAGCCTGGAACACAGTAGGTGCTTCACAAACATTATTACGCAAACCAAGTCGCACGGGTCCAAAACCGTGGGCACTCGCAGCTTTCGGACACGTACTGCTGTGTGCTCTCGGGGAAGTTACTCAACCTCTCAGAGCCTGGTTCCTTGTTAGTAAAATGGGTCCAATTAGAACTGTCCACCTCCTGGGGCTACGGTGAGGATTATTTATAACCCACTGACTGCTGCGACCCAGACTATCTGCAAGTCCCTTCAACTTCAAACCAACCCAAGTCTGTCCCTCCTGGCCACCTCCATCAGCACGTAACCCAGGTGACCGTTTCCTCTGGCCTAGACGGGTGTTCGAGCCTCCTAACGGCTCTGCCTCACCCCCTCCTCAATCCTCCCTCCATACAGGAGAGTTATCCTCTGTAACGTGTATCGGATGGTCTGTCACTCTCTGCTCACAATCTCCCAAAGGCTTCTCACCACCCTTGGAATAAACCCAAACCTTCAGGCCCTGCACATTGTGGGCTGTGGCCCTGCTGCCTTTTCCTTCTCCCCACGTGGTTTAGCTGACCGCCCAAGTTAGACCAGACCCCTTGCCATGCCCTATTCCAGACCCCCACTTCCTTCATTACCCGAATTAAGGGATGGGTCTTTCTATTTATTTGTATCATTGCTTGCTTGTCTTCTTTCCCATCAGATCTAAGTTTTACAAGGGAGGGTTCCATACCTGCCTTATTCACCATTATGTACCTAGATCTACCATCTCGTCTGACACACAGTAGGGACTGGAGAACGGATGAATGAAACTGTTCAGCACCACACCCAGCACTTAAGATGCAGCCAGCGGCAAATGTAGCATCCTTCTATCTGCTCTCCCTTCCTCCTTCTGTCTGCCCTCCCTGCCTCCGTCCCTGGAGCCTTCAGGTAAAGGACAAATACCATTCATCGGCGAGGAGACGCAGCAATGCCCAATGTCATCATGGCTTTATTTGATTAGCTCCGACTCTGGCATCCGGGACACGTGCGCCGGGAGACAAAGCAACTGTACCCTGACCTCTGGTCCACGCGATGCCATCCTTATAACTATTTCCATGACAACAGCAACAGGAAGCCAAGGCTGTGGATTCCCTTTGATAGGAGCCGGATGCAGAGACGAGGAGGAAGGACTTTCAGAAGAATGGAGCTCTTTGATTCAGCTCAAGGCGCCTTCATTAAATACCACTAGTTTGCAAAAACACACATTTTTACCCAGCAGAGGGAGATTTCTCATGAATACTAAAAAAAAAAGGGGGAACAAAACCACCCTTGTTCCTTTCAAGAACACTCACCTGAGGGGAGGGGAAGGCTTGCACGGTGTGGCGTAGGGAGTAGCTGGAGGGAGACAGGCAGAGTACATGGCCCCGCTAAGGGGGCTGGCATGAACCCTGGTTGCCTGGCCCCGGTCTGAGAGCATGGACGTCTCTGCCCACCAAGAGGTTCAGGGTCTACCACCCACCCGGTTGGCCACCTGTCCTGGTTTGCCTGGGGCTGAGGGCTTGCCCAGGTCACGAACTAAAACCAGGAACGTCTGGACAAGCCCTGGAAGAGGGTGCGCTGAAGAAGGAAACTGCTAAGAATCATAGAATCGTTGAGAGAGAAGGGCCTTTACCCTATGTCTTCTGGTTTAACAGTACTGCACATCCAGGGTGTTCTTTCCAAACCCCATAAACCTGGTGTGATGATGAGAAAAACATCAGACCCGCTGCTCTAGACCTCCTCTAAGGCAGCCAGGGATGGTGGGGCCTGAAGATCTGGGTTCAAATCCTGACTTTGCCACCTCATGACTATGTGACTGTGGGTGGGTCACCTCACTTGTGAAATGAGATGATGACCCCCATCTCCCTCAGCTCTCCCGAGGACTCAGTGCGACATCCTGCATAGGTGGCAGTGGCAATCAGCATCATCTCGTGATCACTGTCTGTGGCATTCCAAAGCTATTATTTGTTATTGTTGTTGGTAGAAATAGGCTTTGCATTATTAGTGCTATTACTATTAGTTTCATACCCTGCCCTGGTAGTCAATGTGGGAATGTGCCCACGTATACACAAATACACGGTCCCACCTGCGTACAAACACAGGCCCGCACGAAGGCATGTCTGCCACACTTGGGCATCCTGTCCCAGCGCCCTGATCCACCCAAGCATTCAAGATGCACCCTATTTCAGCCCCGAGGAAGGGAACGAGACTCCTCAGTCATTAACAACTCCTCTTCCTCACGTGCCACCTCCATGGGACCCATCAGCCCTGGGAATGTCCCGGCACGTCCCCCACCTTAGGTCAGCACCGCGGCCACACACACACCTGGAGGGAGCGCCACTCCCCCGTGGCTGCGACACTTTCCCAGCCCAATTGTGAGGGGACCCACCTGGCTGTGCACTTTCTCCAGCTCCTCCTTGCTGACCGACACCTTGCCGTCCTCCATGGTCCCCAGGAGGACCTGCACATCGGACAGCAGCGCATGAGTCCTCCTGAGGTCCCTCCGCAGGCGCTTCTCCACATCAAAATCCCGATGGCCGATCTGGAAGCCAAGGGAAGGCACTCATGAGCTGAGACAGCAAAGCGGTGGCCAGGGTCCAAGCTCTCTGGAATCAGGCTCCCTGGGTTCGAATCCTGCTCTTGCCCCTCGCTGCAAGACCTTGAACAAGACACTTTTCCTCTCTGAGCCTCAGTTTCCTCATGTGCAGAATGGGAATGGCATCACGCACACGGGGTTGCTGTGAAAATTAAATATGTGCTTCGCCTAATGCCCGGCTCATAGTAACAGCACAGATATGAGCTATTACTACTGTTACCAACGCTGTAAGGATCCAAAGTCATTCTGTCTCCTCTTTGGCCCCAGTCATCAACATGGCCTCTTTTCACCTTGCAAATGAGCCCACAGGTCAGGGGAGGCCTCTGCTGGCCGAAGTCAGGACAGCAGTCACCCCAGAGGGGCAGTCACTGGAGAGGGCAGGAGGGGAGTTTCCGGGGAGGGGGGGGGGGTTATCAATGTTATTGATCTTGGTGCTGGCTTCATGAATTTATGGAAATTTGTTGAGCTGCATGGACGGGACATGGTGTACTTCTCTGCATGTTACAGGTCAGTAAATAGTATTAACATAGCTGCGCAGCTTTCAAAGCTCTAAACCAGCCTTTCTGTCCCCTGAGCTGGTCCCCTTTGTCAGTTAAGGACAGGCTGACAAGGTCACTTTCCACAGAGGGACCTTACCCAGAAGCGAGCGCACTCCTTCCCCAGAACCCTGAAGCCACACCCTGACCTCGGCACCAGGAGGGTGACAACTGCCCACAGACAACTACAGACAGACAAACCAAGGGCGACAGAATGATGTGGGGCTCAACATGAAACCGCCCCAGACCACGGTCTCTGCTGCAAACACAGCACCGACTGGACACTGAGCTCGCATCTCTGCAAGAAACAACAGCGCCCTTCTCTTCAGGGGACCAGCGGGAAGGACACGGCACCATCCATCAGACGAGGGTATCACAGAAAATGGGGCCCGGATGCCTCAACCCTGGAACTCAGTCTCTCCAAATCCGGGTACCTGGGTCTCTGTGCCAAGCACAGCCATTCCCTGCAATGCTCACAATGGCCTGGGGTGCTCCGGAACGAAGGTGGGATTGAGAATGAGGCGGCCCAGGCTTTAAGCAGCGGGAACTGTGGCTGAGTTAGGTCACCGCTCTGAACCCGAGTGTCCTCGTCTGTAAAAGAGGGGGTTAAAAAACTCCCTATCCTCGCTGCTGAGGTAAGACAGAAATCAGACGTGATGATGGATCGGAAAGCACTGTGCACGCTGCTGAGGGCTTTACAAAGAGAAGGGGTTATGGGTGTTGTCTGGTGGCCGGAACGCACTCCTTCAGACTCTGCGTCACTCCTACTCTACCACCAGCTTCAAACTCTTTGAAAAATGAGTCAGTTCTTAGGATACAGCCTCTTTGTTCTCAGATATATTGCTTTACGTTATAAATGCTGGAGATTATATATCGATATAGGGTGTCCCCCCAAAATATACACACACACACTTTGAATAATTATAAAGGCAGTGGTTATTAAAATACATTTCATTTTCAAAATTGAGCTATCAGCTGTTGAAGTGTTTATACATGTTTTGGGACACCCTGTATAATACGCTATATATATATACTATATATATATTATACATGTATATTCATATTCTCACCTGCTGAGCCGAGCTGAGGCCTGGGCATTGTGCCAGGCCTTTGTCACAAGTCATTACATTGAACTCCTGTGACAATCTCTTAACAATAGACATTATTATTATGATTGGCTTTATAAAAGTGGTAATAGCGTACAGGTATAGAGGGCTGAGTGTCAGACACTGTTCTAAACACTGTACGGATGTCAGCACAGTTCATCGTCATAGTGAATCTCTGAGCTGTGCAGTATCATGATCCCCATTTCACAGATGAAGAAACTAAAGCTTATGGAGGGGAAGCAGTTTGCCAAGATTACTCAGCTAGCAGTAAGTGGCAGAGTTAGGATATGAACCCAACTTGGCTGACTGCAAAGAGGTTCTTTTTGTAAACTATATGATAAGAGACGTATGATTCGCTCTTTCCACTGAAGAAAAGGTGTCATGGAGGCCCAGAGAAGCATGGTCCCGCCCAGGCTGCGATGGGATCAGGAAGAGCCTTAGATGAATGGGACGGCTCAGCGAGGAGCAGGGCGGGCCTGCAGGTGGAAGGCACTGCGAGAGCACAGGCGGGGGTGGCCTGAGAAATAGCCTTGTACATTCTGTTCTGGGTGATTAGCATGAGGGTATGAAACATGGGGGTGGGGCAGGAAACAGAGTTACAGCTGACAAGACTGACATGGAGTGGGCAGGTGATCTGTCCAAGGCCAGGCCCTGGCTGTGCAGGGCTCTAACCACTGTACCACAGTGCCTACTGGAACCCAAATCCCAATTTATTCACTTGAGCCCAGGCCCTATACCATGACTGCATCTAAGCAGTGTGCTTGGCACCTTGCTTATTTTTGTGTCTGTTCTTGTTCGGCACACATCCTAAAGTGCCTTTAATTCTCCCGTGGGGCAGGTTGGCATCAGTACACCCCGATGCTGGCACTGACCGTGCAGTAGGGATGGCTCAGATTCTACCCTCTTCTCTGCCAGAATGACCCTGAAAACGCCACCACCATCTCCTTCCCAGAAGGATCATTGAAAACGAAATTCACAGCAAAACCTCAGACCAAGGCCTCCTCCCCTCCATAATGAATGGCTACAGGAGGGGAGGGCGGAGGGAAGGACTCATTAGGTTAATGGGAAATGAATGTCACTCTGCAAGTTCACATTTTACAGCACAAAGATTCAAATTTAGATAAAACTGGTGAATAATTAACCAATAAATCTAAATAATGTTTAGTGTTGTTGTGGGAAGCTGTGGTCAAGCCTCGATTGTTTCGCCATTAATAATGAAGGCAGCCTGTTGGGGGCAGTTGTTAAATGTCTGTGGTCAAAGAACGCTCTGAGCACGGGAACAGTAGGATCTGGAACGGCTGTTAGGGTAACCAAGCCCCTTTACAGCTGGGAAAATTGAGGTCTGGCCAGAAAAGGTGAGTTGCTGAAAGTTGCACAGAAAATTAATGGCAGAACTGGGCTGACTTATAATAATATGAAAAAATGATGGGCCACAACAGGATGATTCTAGTTAATTGGATCTTGATCATTTTTAAGCAATGTGATGTTCTATTTTAAAAAATATGGGTTTTCAAATAATAGACACGTCCTTTCAAATCCACACAGGCCACTAACAAGCTATGTGATCCTGGGCAATTTGCTTTACTTTTGAGCTTCACTTCTTTCATTTATATGTAGAAACTAATAATACATACCCCACAGCACTGTTGTGAAAACTAAATAAAGTATGTTAGGGAAAATTATAATTAAGTGCTTATCTTAAAATGTATGGCGACCACCACAAGAATAGAAATATGATTTGTAGCTTCAGCACCCACAGTGAGCAAAAGTGATCACAGAATGAATACATGATCAATCTATCCAACAGCAGGAAAACAGTCAAGCAAAAAGCAAAGCAAAGGGACAATGAACCAACAAATACTAAACCCAAAAGAAGAGAACAGAAATAAATTCAAATGTATCGGTCATTGTAAGAAACGTAAGTAAATTACATTGTCCTATGAGAAGTTAGAGACTAAAATTGGATTAATCCCAGTCAAGGCACATGCCCAGGTGCATGTGGGAGGCAACCAATCAATGTTTCTCTCTCTCTCCTTCTCCCTTCCTCTCTCTAAAAAAAAAATCAATGAAAACATTTAAAATAAATAACACTTTTATTAAGTGAAGGGCATCATAAAGTGCAATGATTTCCCATAGAGTAGGAGATATTTGCAACATATGTAAACAAAAATGGACTAACATCTTGTATAAGGATCATGAATGACCAATAGAAAAAAAGAAGCCAAAAGACTGACTAGGCAATTCACATCGGAGACGACCATAACAAACGTTAGGAACACACAGCCTCACTAGCGACGAGGGTGAGGGGACCAGCAGTGCAATCAACACTCAGTGACTGGCAAATATTTTAAAACTGTCTGGAAGTGACACGTGTCAGCGGAGACAGGGGAAGCAAACATTTAAAAAATCCTGCTAGTGACAGTATAAACTGTCACAGTCACGTTGGGGAACGATTTGGGCGACATCTAATAACTCCAAAATGAGACCGTCCTAGGAGCCAGCAATCCTCTTCCAGCTACACACCCTGGCGACACCCGTCCCTGTGTGCGATGAGACATATATAAGAATACGCACTGCAAGTGTGTGTCTTGGAGTGGAAACGACTAAATATTCACCAACAGAAGAAGGGAATTTAAAAATATGTATACTGTGCAGCGGTTAAAATGACGGCATTAGAGCTACATGAATTATCATAGCCTAATCTGGAAACATAGTATACGGAGGGGGCCAGATAGAGAATCGCATGTGCTGCACACGGTCAAAGTGTAAACACACATGCAGAGGAATTCACGCCCCGACCTCAGGACAACGGTTTCCTCTGGGAGAGAGGGAAGGAGGAGGGAGAGAAGGCAGGGAGATCAGGAATGGAAACTCAGGGGCCACCAACTGTTTGGGGAATGTTTTTTTTCTCTGAGCCTGGCTGCCTCTAGCAAGAGTCTTACTCTCATGAGAAGCCAGCTGTGAGCACAGGGGCCCCATTAAAGCAAGAGTTGTCCACACGCTCACTCCAACAGCTGAAGGCAAGGTGCCCCGTCTGTCACTCTGGCTGCACCCACCCTCTTTGGTCTCCTCGGTTCTTCTAAGAACCCTGCTGAGTGTGGGCCCCGGAAGGCCCTTTATGAAGAGCCAGTGAATGTGGACAGGGACAGACTTGGTGGAGGAGAGGGCACTCGGCCCAAAGACCCCTCCAGCTGGCCTCCCCGTAAATCTATTTCTATTATAGGGCCCGAGGCAGGGAACATGCTCTCCCAAATGTCTGCTGGTGGCTCCCCCTCACCTGGTCACAGAGGGTCCCGATCAAGCCTTCCAGATCCTGCTTCTCATGGAGGACCATCTGCTTCTCCTCGTATTCTTGCTCCAGCTGCATTTCCAGCTGGCGGAGCTGTGGGCACAAAGGGCAGATCCATGCACAGGAGAAATGAGATCCCTCTGGACAAATCCCACAAGGCAGGGACCCTCCCCGGGGGGAGGGGATGATGTGGAGTTCAAGGCCCTTCACCCAGTTCCACGAAGGCTGCCCCGGTGGTTAGGAGCAGGTGTCTCTGTTGGAGAACTCAGGAGCCTAAAAGTTTGGGAGCCCAACAACTATGAGGAGGGCTGGGCAATTACGGGGAGCCCCTACCACTCATTGTGAAGCCCCGCCCCCCGGGTCCCTACCCATTCCTACCAGATGTCTCCTACCTGTGCCGTGCCCTAGCTTGAATATCTCTAAGTCTTGGCCCTCTGATTTTTTCAAGATCTCCATGACACTACATCCAACATATTAACATGCATCAGCCTCCCTTATTAAACATATAAATATACATGAGGCAGTAAAAAAAGTAGTTGGATTTGAGATTATCTAGTGTCCCTCCAAAATTCACTTGTTGAAACCCTCCCCCCAAAGCAATGGTACTTGGAGGTGGGGCCTTTGAGTGGTAATTAGGTTGGAATGACATCATCAGGGTGGAGTCCCCATGATGGGATAAGTGCCCTTATAAGAGGGGATACACCAGAGAACTTGCTTCTTCTCTCTCTCTCTCCTCACTTAAAATGAGGAGGTGGCTGCCTACAAGCCAGGAAGAGAGCCCGCACCAGACACCTTGGTCTTGGACTTCCCAGCCTCAGAACCATGAGCAGTAAAAGTCTATGATATTCTGGTATGGCAGCCCGAACTGATTAAGACATTTGGCTACAAATGACTCATTGCATTTACAGTTGGTGCTGATTTCTCAGCAATCACCCAACAAGGCCGGGAGCTCCCCGCTAGAGTGAATACCCCACCAGCTTTGCTCACCCTCTTCCCTCCAGCCTCTCTCATCTACGTTATCTCACCCCTTCATGCTCCCTCTGTAACCTTGTGCCTTCAGTGACCCTATTTCACAGATGGACAAACTGAGTCAGAAAGAGGCTTCAAAGTGCATCCTCTTCAGTCAGTTTTTGCTAAGAGCAGTTAGTTATTGGTCTCCGGGCCCCAGCTCCACTGCCACTCCAGATGGCCATTAGCATTCCCACCCAGGTTGCTAGCAATTGATTTCCTGCCAGGGCGAGAGAGAGACTGAGCAGAGCAGTCACTAGATGTGAAGGCAGTGTCAGTGTCTGTCATAGGAGAAAAACACCTTCCCCTTTATAAATCTGTCCACGGCGAGACCTCAGGAAGGTCTGGGTCACACCTCCAGCTCTCTGGGGCCCTGGCTCAGGGCCCCCCTCATGATTTGAGGTGCTTTTGAAATGCACCAGATATGGTGCAACCTTCACTGGAGGGCACATGGACAGGGACTGAGGGCTTCTACCTCCTGACCCATGAAGGGGAAAAAAATAGTGATTGATGGTCACTTAGGTAGAAAGCAAGTTCATTTCAAAATTTTCTTTTAAGAGAGACATAAGGCATTCTGCTCACATCTGCTTTCAGAATGAAGACGGGAATGGCTAAAACAAATTCTGAAAAAGATACAAAATAATAAAAACTATATATTGAGCAAGGCAACGTTTTCTGGAGCGTGTTCTGCAGAATATTTCCACATGCTATTCACAGATATGATGTGGGGGAGAGGAGGGGAGTCCATGCTAGAATAAGTATGGAAATCATTGAGTCGACAGGGTCTTCAGTGCAGGACTTATCAGAGCCTTTGGTAAGTCATTGTGCAGGAAGTGCTAAGGGATGAAGCATTGCCCAAGGTTGACATCTATCAAGTGCTTCCAAAATGGCCCTTCATATTCAAACAGTTGCAAAATAAACAACAACAAAAAATATCTTGTGTCTTGGTTAAGAGTCTGGGCTTTGGAGGCAGATAGAACTAAGTTCAAATCCTAGCTCGGCTACTTTCCAGCTGGGGAACCTTGGGCATGTCACTTCACCTGTAGAAACAGCATTCGTGTGAGGATTCAATAAGTCCATAGACATTAAGAACCCAGCCTGGCGCCCGATGGGTGTTCAAAGAATGCCATTCATTTCTCCCAAATATGTAATAATGGAAAATAAGCAGAAACTGGCCCTTTGATGATAACTTCCAGCACTTTACAGTGTATAAGACACTTCCCCTTCTTTTATCTCATCCCCATATAGATAGTGAAGGTAGACCATGTTCTATCATTCCTCCCATTTCACAGAGGAGAAAACAGTCTCGAGGAGTGACGAGACATACTCAAGGGTACACAGATCTAGCTGGGCCCAAGTCACTGACTTTTTTCTTTCCAGTCCTAGAAAGTTCTAGGGGGGGACATGCTGGGCCCCTCGGGATGAGCCATGGGAACCTGCAGAGCAGGATGAAGAGAGGATGCAGCAGCGCCCACCACTGGGGGTGGAGAATGGGCCCAGTTCTTACTCCCTGGAGGGATGGCAAGGTGTCAGGCAGCCCGATCTGTCTCCCGTGGAAGTCCTGCCAGTCACCACGGCCCCCTCATGCCCTGCCCAGGAGGATGCTTAGCAGTGGGCTCTGCAGGGCGCCAAGTTCCTGCACCCGCCTTCTCCTGAGGATTAATCACACCCACGAGCAAGCCAGCCACCAAGCTGTTCCCTGGCCCCTCCTGCAGGCCCAGCCACCTAGAAACCCAGTGTTGTTCTTCCGGCTCTAATGAACAGGGATTACGTTCCAAAACTCTGCAATGTTTCCACATGTGCGAGCTCCTGGAGTCTTCACTCTCACCCTGCACAGTAGCCATTAGCATCCCATTTGTCAGATGAGAGACGTGAGGCTCTTAGTAAGGCTTTGTGGTTTCTCTAAAGCCCTACATTGTAGGTTTTCGATGGAGCTGGGATTTGACTCAGCCCCTGGAGTCCAGAGGGCTCTGCAGAGACTGTTTAGGGAGCTCCTAAGGGGAATCCACTTTGGGGAATGCTACTCAGCGCCTCATTGGAGATGCACAAGGCACATGAGGCTCTGACAGACCCACGAGGCCCCGGAGTGGTGACACCTGCTTAGGGAGGCGCACCCCGAAGTTCGAGGCAATTCCACCTTCAGGGTCCACCATATATTCCTACCCATCAGCACATCTATAAGGATATTCATCTCAGCATCGGGGATAACAACAGAAAATCAGAAGCACCCTAAGTGTCCAACCACAGGGGACCAGCTGATAAGTCAGAGTGCATTTCTGGGTCATATTGAAGATAGATACTTCCGTCCCAGCACCCTTGAAAGCATCCAGGGAGCTAAGGTCTCAGGTGACTGCCCAAAGAGTCCATCCCCAGGCCCTGCACCCCCCTCGCTCTAAGGAAGAGGGTACCAGGCCTGGGCCGACCCTGCCCCAAGGGCACAGCTGTAGCCGCTGCTTAGCTGCTTACGTACCCGCTTCTGGCAGGACTGGCGGACATCCTCCAGCTCCTCCTCCTGGTCCTCCCGGTCCTTCTGGTGCATCTGCTTCATCCGCTCTATCTCTAGCTCCAGACGCTGGCGGAGCTGGGGGGCAGCAAGGACAGCACATGAGGGTGACCCTCACCCACTCCCCTGGCCCTCCATGCCATCCTTAGCATTCCAGTTGCATTTTTTGTTTTTGGCGTGCATGGACGAGAGTCTAATGATCCCCCCAGACACCCAGGAAGGTAAATCAATAGTCGATAAGTAGCCCAAATGCTGCCTCTATCCCTTCCTGTGGTTGTAACAGACATCATCAATCAATCATATACTCTTCTGCTGAGTTTAGATGGAGCCTCAGAATCCTTCTCAACACTGCTAAGGTGAAACATTGCCATCATCCCTGGGGGGGCCATCCCTGGGGCAGCCATGGATGGGAGGACAGGTGAGTGAGCAGACAGTACGATGAAATGTTATTCAGGAGGAGCTGAACGCCTGGAGAGATCACTGGCCCCAGATGTTACCTCAGGTGATTTTGTCTATAATCAGTTCCCCTTCTCTGTGGAAAACAGCCATCTTCGAATGCTATTATGAGGATTCAATGAGATGGCCCATGTAAAGCACTTATCACAGTGCCTGGCACATACATATCGCTCTCTCTTTCCCTAGTGTTTTGAAAGCAGAAAGGACTTCCTGGCAGCCTGACATAGCAGGCACTGTGTTCCCATGAAGAGTCATCTCATAAACGAGACCCTCCAAGCCTTGCTCAGCCGGGCAAAGAGCTGCGCGTGACACTGGAACCATGTTGTATAAAAGGTTCTGAAATGGAAGGCAGAGGCCACGGGTCCCAGTTCCAGTTCCAGGTTTCACCTTCTCGATCTGGATAATTGAGGGCCCGACCCACGCTCCTGCCTCTCAGATGCTGCGGCACATTGGAATGAACTAACACGTTTTTTAAACTTAAACTTCAGAGCTTCCCCCTAGATCTGTCGAATTGGAATGTCCAGGGTAGAGGGCCCAAGAACCTATACTTTTCAGCTGTCCCTTATCCGGGCTCTTTGATGCGACTGGTCTGTGGAGAAGCACTTGGAACTCAATACGTGGGTTACATTGTAGAAACTCTTCCTGTAGCACACTGTCCCGGCACCTGGCATCAAACCAAGCATTCAGAAGGCCACAAACACCGTCCCTAACGTGGAAATCACGCTGAGGAAAAACAATGCTGGTCTTCGGAAAAGCGCTGTATTCTCTGCTGGGTAGGGCTAGGCGCAGAGGAAAAAGGATAGTGCCTGTCGGAGTCCCTGTTACAGCTCTTGGCATAAAGGATGCTCACTTTAAATGTCAACTTCCTTCCTCACCTTCTTTAAAATGACAGAGGTTATGGGAAGATAATCCAAAATGAGGAGCTGAAGCAAGTAAATAAAATATTTCTTTTTCATTTTTCTTTCTAGCCTCCTGGACCCTCCTGACATCTGCAATACCATTTATGTCAAGCTTATATGAGCTCACATAAAATCCCCTAGAAAAAGTGCTATATTGTCATCAATAAATACCTCCTGGGTGTCTCCCAGGGTACAACGCAGTAGGAAGTAATGGGTGAAGCTAAAGATGCATGAAGTGTTGAGTCAGCCTCGCCTCCCCGTGAGGTAAGGATGGACAATTAGGAAGCTGCATTACCTTTCGGGTCCCTGAGGTCGCCTTACGTACATACTATGTTTCTGCTTCTGAGCACTGAGTGGTCCGCTGGTGGTATCTTTGAGGAACACACTTTTCCGAAGGGCTTGATTTATGCTTGACTGTGGGTCGCTATGTGATCCTGTGACATCCTCCATGCCCCTTAATGTCCTCCACAGATATTCCCCCTCCTGCACAAACCTTCATGGACTCATGGGGTTGGGGGGAAGCTAGGGGATGGACAAGGCTCCGATTTCATTGTACAGATGAGGAGACTGAAGCGAGGGCACGGGGAGCTTGCCTAAGGTCATCCAGACAATGAGCTGCCTTGAGGACGCCATCTGGGTGGGATGACATCACAGCACCTTAAATGCCACCTGACTGCCCTGCCTCTGGGCCTTCACACAGTCTGTTCCTCCTGCCTAACTGTCCATCCTTACCTCACAGGGGAGGCGAGGCTGACTCAACACTTTCATGCATCTCTTGGTCAGTCAACTCAGATTCACCCTTTAGCTTTCAGCTTCGGTGAATGTCACTTCCTGCAGGAAGGCTTCCCTGACTGTTTCTCCAACTGGGTTCCCGAGACCAGATCTGCAAGTTACACTTTCCCACAACACGCAGCATGACTGTAATCTTCGGGAGGGCAGAGACCACGTCTGGGTTGTTTGCAGCTGCATCCTCAGCAACCACACAGTGCATGGCACAAAGTAGCTGCTTAATAAATGAGTAAGGGAGCTGTTTTCTGAACTGCTCCAGACTCTCTCTCTCTACATCTCCCACCCCTTGGTCTCAGTACTCAGCAGGACCCATCCTGATGGAGTGGAGGTAAGTGAGAAGCAAGGGCAGGGACCCCAGCTTTCCCCCCTAAATGTGCCACCTCCACCTTTCAACCCCTCCCTCTCCCTCTCCCCCTCCTCTCTCCAACTCCTCCGCTCCAACTTCATCAGAGCTGCTCAGAGTCCCCTGCTTTACATATTTATGCTGCCTGCTCAGATTTTCTTGAAAAAGAGTTCCCAGCCTTAAAATCTCTTCAAAATAATCACCCCTTATGAAATCCCACATGAAAAATTTCTGTAGAGCTAAGCATCAGGAAAAGCCTTCTCCGCCTGAAAAACTGCTGTGTTTTCATCACAGGGACAACAAAAGGCATGCAACTCGGGTTTCCTTCTTCTCTCTGGCCACCAGGAATTTTAGAGCTAAAACAAGTAAGTGTGTAAGATCGCATGTTTTGCATATCTGCATATTAATACACTGTCCCCACCCCTCCTTAGTGTCCATTTTAATTTGTATTTTTCTGGTCTAAATTGTATTTATATTTTTTCTATTTTGTTATGCATGCATCTTAGAAGCTGCTACAAATTCCTTATGGAACAAGGTAGGCATATAAACAAACAAGCAGACAAATAAAATATTCATTTGATACTTCATTGAGCGTGCGGGTACTAGAGCATTTGATATTCCTGCCTTATTCCCCTTAGCTATTTTGCATTTCTTGAAGACTAGCGCTCCAATCTTCCTTGATAGTGTTCACAGTGCTGTGCACAGAGTAAGTATGCAAGGCGCTGCAGTCACATGGAGCAGGCTACAAACCCTATCCCTGCCGCTTTGTCCACACCTCCAAGCCTCAGCCTCCACATCTGTAAAGTGGGGGCAATCAATATATCACCATAGAAAGCTCTTGTGAAGATTCAGGAGATGATACGTGGGGAGAGCCTTGGGTGGAGTCAGGTACACAGACAGTGCTCAATTAATGTCAGACATTACATCAACACCAACTATGCACCTGGCCTCATTCTCGGCTCTGTAGATGGCCTGATAAGTAAGATCAACAAAAAACCATGCCTTCCTGAAACTTATGTCCTATTGGGGAGAACAGCATTGGGCACGTTTTGAACAATACCATCGAATGTGATGACAGCAGGTGACACGAAGGACAAACCCGCTAAAGAGATGGAAGTGAATGTGGTGTGGAGGTGGGGCTGTAAGGTATCAGTGCACCTGGTCACGAAGGGTCTGAATGTCAGACCTACAGCTTTAGAGGTTCTCTGGGGTAATAGGGAGCCACAGAAGGATGGGAGCAGCGGAGAGAGGTACCCACACTGTATTTTAATAACATCCCTGGGCCTTGGAGTCGGTCAGGGACAGCTTTCCTACCTGCTCCAGCTGCTGGATGGTGTTTTCCTGCTGGTTCCGGATCTGCTGTTGCTCGAGGGCATTGGATTCCAGTTTCCAGAGCCTGTCCTTCAAGCCAGCGACACTGTTCTCCCCCCGAGAGGGCAGCGTCAGCAGCTCCCGCTTTTGGGCCTGCAGCGTCTCCACCTCCTGCTTCAGCTTCAAGGTTTCCTGCTCCTTTTGCTATGGAGACAAAGGGGACGGAGGCTGGAGTCCCATGGCCACGGCCCCCTCCAGGGTCACCCCTAACACTTGCTGGAATGGTGCTTCCCCCTTTTCAGTGCATGCCTTCTCCACTCACCATGCAGCCCCTCACAGCACCCCCTGCAGGACACCCAGGCTGCTTTCTGGAACAGCACAGGCAGGCGGGGGCAGGAGAGCAAGCCACTGCCCCTAGAGTTAGACCTCCAAGCACCTAAAGGGATTGCTTGCCCCATTTGTAGGCTGTGCACCTGCTGAGGCCAAGACTGACTTGGAGCAGGAAGGCAGGGTGTCTAGAAATGACTCTTCCAGGTTAGAAAGTCACCTAAGGGTCAAAGAACTATGGGCTAGATCATGAAGGAGCTGCATGCCAGGCTGAGAGGTTCAGAGGTTCTTCCGGGGCACTAGGGAGCCACAGCAGGGCGAGGAGCAGCTGAGTAAAGTGCCTGTGTCATATTTAATAAAGCCCCTTTGCAATGGAGCCTGCATGGGACAGCGCACTGCCTCTGGACGGGGTTACCGCTAACTCATTCCATGCTGAGCCTCTCACACCTCCCAGGTGCCCACCTGAGAACCCAGGCAGGAGACCAGAGCACATTCAATGATTCAAGCTAGGCAGGTCTGACTACCTACCTGCTGTCTACTGTTGGTTTTATTAAGGCCCCCTGAGAGCATGACTCCAGCTGGCAGGCCGGGACGCCCACACAGAGTTCCCTCCCCGTCGCCATTTAGAGCAGGTACGTGGTGGGGTTTCCTGAGACCAAGAGACTGAGAGCCAAGAGGCTCCATGCCTCCCACCCCTTACCTTCAACTGCTGCTGGAGCCGGCCCAACTCCCACCGGACGCTGGTGTTCTCCTGGGTCACTTTCTCGCGGAGTCCCTTCTCAAACACAGACTCACCCAGGGCCTGGGCGAGCTGCATGTCAAACCTGTCCAAGCAGAACGTGTGTCATGGCTCCACTGGAGCGGAACCCACAGGTGAGGACCGAGGTGGGGCTCCTGGGGCAGGGGAGGGGATGGGGAGAGCAGCCAGCTTGCCGAGAACCAGTAGAGAGAGAGAGAGAGAAGGTGGGGGGGGGGTAAATAAGGAGAGAGAGAGAAGAGGGAGGGGAAAAGAGAGAGAGAAGAAAATGGTGGGGTTTGCTTAATGCCTTCCTGTAAGGTTGTGGATATGGGGTAGGAAGAATCTGGAATACAAGAGAGCAGCTTTTAGAGTTTGTATAAAGTTTTCACAAAATATTGAATGCTTATTTAAAATGGGACTTAAAAATATATAGATAAAAATTAGAGTGAAACTGTATACAGAGAATAAAAATAAAAACATATATGGGACAATCTGATGCATCTGGTTTGCCAACGTATTCCAGGAACCTTTACCGCTAGCAAGCCCAGGTTTGCTGCCTAATGACCACTGACCGGTGAGTGGACGACTGGAGATATCCACACAAACAAGGGATAGATATCCTGCGTTCCCTGTTTTACATGATGCTGCTGGGCTTATGCACTTACAACCCCATTAGAGCAGGGTAGTTACTGGGAAAATGCTGGACAGTTATGCATTCAGCGTGTTCACTTGTTTCCCTGGCAGGTAACATGGAGACTCAAACAGCCCTACTTAGGACCGTCCGGGACTGAGGAAATGGCTGCTTTGGGGCCCACCTGCCCCTCCAGCATGGTGACCCCTGGAGGAGAAGGACTTGACATCATTCCGTGTGGTTGTCTCGGCCTTCAGTCCCTATCACAGAGGAGGGAACAACAGAGGGGCTCTGCCAGGTAAGCAAGGACTTTGGTCATTAGCCCCTGGACCACATAGAAAGGCCTGCTTTTCCAGGGAACTTGGTGCAACCGAAATGGCCAAGCTGGACATGGGGTTTGGGTCTTGGTAAAAAGGTCTCCCTATTACAAGATTATCCAATGTCCCTTAATAGGAGATGGTCATTCTGAGATTCAGACTCCTGTGGCTCACAGGAGGGAGCCCTACCAGTGGAACTGCCAGGAGCTTTCTGATTGGCTGTTGATGACATCATGCAAGAGGTGCTATTGGCTGCCTCTGAATGGAAGCATTGTGATGAGGATGATGACCCAACAATCCCGAGTGCCAGGGTGTGGGGTGAGGTCCACGTTGTCCTTATGACAATTTAGCAAGAAACATATTACATCCATTCTACAGAAGAAAGGCAAAGTAATTTATTAGCCCAAATTTCCACAGTGGTGGAAGCGAGCTTGAGCCCAGGTTTTCTACTGTCTTCGAGGCTACCCGCACCTTCCTATCCCTGTGCCCTGGGACAGGCGCAGCAAGACAGAGAGGCCAGGCAGTGACTGCTGTTTCAAAAGAGTCCTTGACTTAACAGGCCACCTCAGGCCAGAGTATGGCTCCTACAGAGCCTAACTCCTGGAACACACCGGCCCACCAGCTGAGGCCCGATGGATTTGCACACACCCTTCACCCCACCAGGAAGAGGCAGGCTCCAGCCCCTGGTGAGCATGAGAGACAGTGAGCCCAGCACAGGCCTTACCCCAAGGAAGCAGCCTGGGAGTTCCATCAGCCCTCGAAACTGAGCTTTGTGACCCATGGGGTAACCATGGCAACAAAAAATCACTCCCTCAGATGGAACCATTCTGGATCGCTCTGAACTCAGAAGCCAATGTCAGGACAGGAAACTCTAGCAGCGTGGAGACATCCCTCCATCCTGGGCCCGGCAAACTAAGGAAGCAGCTGCATCTACAATTTGTTGACACTTCGAGGGAGATGAGGAAGTATTGCTAACTTCTAGATCTCTCCCTCACCATTAGATGGAGACTCCCATGGCCCTCACTGGCTTCCTGCTAAAACACGAATCCGCCTAGAAAGAGAAAGGCTGCTATTTGCAATTAGCATCAAAATGTAATGAACTTCTGCCAAGAGATGGTAGCAGAGAAGAGGGCATCAGAGGAGAGGTGTAAGTCTTGAGAGAAGAAAGCCTAAGTATGAAGAAATGGGGACCTTCCGGGGCCGGGGCATCATGGGGGAGATTCTTGAGTACCTGGAATGAGGGATTCTGCCCAAGAGGGTGAGGGAAAGAGCAGAGAGATAGAGTTTTGTGGCTTCATAAACTCCAGGGGCAAACCCTCTCCTCATCAGAGCGGAGCCCCTCCCCAAGGCCTCAAAGAACTGGAGTGGAACCCACAGGTGAGGACTGAGATCATCAGAGCTGGCAGGAACCTGGGGGACGATGGGGTTCATGCCTCTCGGTTTGCAGGGGGGCTCTGATGAAGCTATTCTTCAGCACCAGGTGGCCTGCTTAACTGTCCAAGGAGACTTCAGAACCATCAGGGACTCTCTAGCCCAGAGAGGAGGTGCCATTTAACACGGCCCCCCAGGAAATCACCAAGTAAGCCATTTTCCCCACTGCAAGGGCAAGGTTGAACCAGAGCACCCATGATAAGATGGAAGAGAAACACACCAATAGGAAGAGAATAAACCTCCCTCATTTGGGGGGGGGGGCATGCTAACAACTCCCAAAAGATCTTTAGTTTTTAGATGAAGAAGCCAGCTCAGAAAATCTCAAGGTTAAAGAAACAATGTTTAATGCAGATCAAGTTCAAACGCTATGCCACCTCATGTGAAAATAATTCAGCTCAGCATCTCTGGGAAAAGATCAAAACCACGTCCTGGCATCTCATCCACAGGAACACTCCTGTGTATTTTTATCCTGGGCCCTCTAACAGAGGCTGTGTTTCCTCTACTAGCCTCCTGTGCCATCTCCAGGGGGGCCTGTCCGGCTCAAAACAGGACCCCTGCACACCTCTCCTCTCACCGAGTGAGCAGAACTCAAACACAGCCAGGGGTCCAGGGCCTGAAGCATCGCAGGTGCGGAGGGTCTGCGCTAGGGAGACTGAGTGTGGACCTGGGCCAGTACAGCCTCCACCACTGGCCAGCTGTGACAGCGTCCCCATGGGAACCAGTGTGCAGCTTCCAGACTGGCGACTTGTTGGTGCACAAGGTCCAGTTCCTGCCAGAATCATTCTCATGATCTGAGCATCTAAACCCTAAATGAAAACAGCAGGGACTCAATGTTTTGGCCTCTTCCTCATTCTCATCCCCCGTGGTCAACAACAGGGATAGATGGGAACCAGAATTTAGTCCAATTGGATGAACAAGCTATCATTTAGTCCTCGCCACAGGAGCATTCTCATCCCCAACCTGAGGACTTTATCTGAGACTGAGAAAGGCTGGATGACTTGTCCAAGGTCACACAACTGGGAAAGAGGCCCAGCTGGGACTTGAGCCAGGTGGTGGGACCCCAGGCTGAGCTGTCTTCATCCTCCATAGCAAACTCTTCCCTTGATAAATGGGGATGTTGAGGCCCAGAGAGGCCAAGAAAGTTCCCCAAGGTCATGGTCAATTGGTAACAGAGCTGAGGCTGGGTAACAGAAAAGAATCATTTTTTGCTGGATTCTTGGGCGAACCTTACAGGAATAAGGTCTGAGGGCAAGGGGAGAAAAATTTAGGCCAGAACAAGGGAGTTAAGCCGCATGGATGAGGAGCCCTGACAGAAGTGAGAGTGCCACACCCAGCTGGTGTGGCTCAGTGGTTGAGCGTCAACCTATGAACCAGGAGGTCACAGTTCGATTCCTGGTTAAGGCATACACCTGGGTTGCGGGATTGATCCCCAGTGTGGGACCTGTAGGAGGCAGCCAATCAATGAATCTCTCTCATCATTGATGTTTCTCTCTCTCCCTCTCTGAAATCAATAAAAATATATTTTTGGAAAAAAAAAAGAAGCGAGGGGGCTTAGGAGGAGAAGCCTGCACCCAAATATTCCAGCACCCATGCCGCCCCCTGGTGTCCAGGTGACAATGATGAGGAACATCACTCACTTATTTTGCTTCTTCTCAAGCTCGTGGTTTCGGCTTTGCTGGTTCTCCAGCAGGAAGCGGGTGTCCTCCAGGTCACAGGTCAGCCGGTGGCACTTCCTCTTCAGTTGGTGCGCGGTCTTCTTGGCCCCCTCGTACGCACTCTGCAGCTCCCCGAGCTGTGGGAGTAACAGAATGAATCACCCGGCTCACTTCAAGCAGCTGCTATAATGGGGAGAGAACAGGGGCTGGAGGCAGAGACCCTGTCTCGACCACTCTCTCTCTCTACTTGTCTCCCGAGCCTCAGTTTGCCCAGAGGTAGAATGGGGCAATTCCTTTCATCCCTTGGGGTGGTTTTTTTCTGTTTCTCAGTAATCCTCTTGCCAATGCTCCCACAGATCCTTTGCATGCCTTGCCTCGACTTCGCAGCCCTTGAAGGCTGTGTAACTCATACCCCATCAGCTGGCATAACTTGGGGAGCTATGCAAGCCAGGAAGCAGTCAAAACAGCGCACGGAGAAAATCTAACCGGAAAACCCCAGAGATGGGCTCAAAGGTTAGACCAGCAAAGAGCACTGTAGACGGCCGGCTCACACGGCAACGCACACGCTGGTGCCGACACAGAAGCCAACAGCTCTTCCGTCTTCCTGCAGGAAACACCCTCCCGAATGTCCTAGTTTAGATCTGGGAGAGAAGACAGCTCGGGACACTCGCTTTGAAGAAATGGCCTCATTAAAGTATTGCTTTAAATAAGCAAAACGCTGAGTTAATGAAGCCTGTAATTCTAAATTCAGTATTTGACGGCAAATGGGATGTTTTCTTATATTCGGCTGCCCGGGAAAAGTTGCAGTATTATTACTTTTTAATGTAGCATGACTACCCCCTTTCCTTGGGGATACTGACCCGGCTTTATAATTCCTTATTAGAGAACGGGGCTGTTGCCCTGCCCGGGTGTCCTTCTGTGTTTGTCTACAGCTCAGGATGCCTCCTGGAGGACCGCAAAGCAATGTCCGTGTTGCATGCGAAGAGCAAAACCATCACCACCACGGAGGATAATGAGACTCGCCGCCGTTGCTTATTAACTGTATGTGGCCTCACCCTGGCCCACCTCCGCAAGGTGATCTCATGACACCTTTCTCCCACAGCAAGGAGATGCACGTAATAAAAGGGCAGGCAGAGGCCTCAGCTCTGTGGTGGCTACCTCTACTGGGGAGACCAAGAAACAAAGCAGATAATTACAATACAATGTGATGAGGCTGCTACTTGAAGAAACAATTCAGGCGCATCCAAGCCTATCTGCACCAGGGAAGGCTTTCTTGAGGGAGTGACGTTTAAGCTGAGATCTTAAGGATATTGGAGATGTTGAGGTAAGGGAGAGAAAAGGTGCTCTAAGAAGAGGAAACAGTAGATGCAAAGGCTCAAAGATGAGAAAGAATAATGTATTTTTTGGAGGGAGAAAAAAACAACAGTGCAGTGGAACAGCATAGAGAGCCCAGAAGCAGAGCCACTAAATATAGTCAAAGGAGCAATGGCGATACAATGGAGAAAAGACAGTCTTTCAACGTCTGGTGTCGGAGCAACTGGACATCCACATGCAAAGAAATGAATCTAGATACAGGCCTTACAGCCTTCACAAATACTAACTAGAGTGGATTACAGGTCTCGATGTCAAATGCAAAGCTGTAAAACTTCTAGAAGATAACATAGAAGAAAACCTAGATGACATTGGGTTGGGCAATGGCTTTTTAGGTGTGACACCAAAGGTAGGATCCATGAAAGAATTGACAAGCTGGAATTCATTAAAATTAAAAATTCCTGCTCTGTGATAGACACTAACTCTCAAGAGAATGAAAAAACAAGACACAGACTGGATGACATTCTGGAAAAGGCAAAACTATGGAGACAGTAAAACGATCAGTCATAGCCAGGGATTAAGAGAGAGGAATGGCCCTAACCGGTTTGGCTCAGTGGATAGAGCGTCGGCCTGCAGACTGAAGGGCCCCAGGTTCGATTCTGGTCAAGGGCATGTACCTTGGTTGCGGGCACATCCCCAGTGGGGGGTATGCAGAAGGCAGCTGATCAATGTTTCTCTCTCATCGATGTTTCTGACTCTCTGTCCCTCTCCCTCCCTCTCTGTGGAAAATCAATGGAATATATAGAAGAAAAAAAAGGAGAGAGGAATGAATGGTGGAACATAAAGGAATTTTAGGGCAGTGAAACTATTTTGTATGAAACTACAACAGTGAATACATGTCATTATATATTGGTCCAAACCCAAAGAATAGACACCACCAAGAGGGAACCTTAATGTAAACTATGGAGTTCGGATGATGATGATGACATGCCATGCAGGTCCATAAACTGTAACAAATGCACCTCTAGTGGGGCATGTTGATAGTAGGGGGAGAGTACATGTGAAATTCTGTACCTTCCTCTCAGTTTTGCTGTGAATCAAACACCAAGTGTGGTGCTGAAGCTGGCTTATACCAACCTATGAGAGCTGATTCTGCACGTCTCTTCCCAATTCTACATTCAGTGACAACACAATGTTAACGTGAAATCAGCCATGGTGGGAGAATTTACACCACAGACATTGGCCATTGGCAAATGCTATACATTAGGAGAAGCTTGTCTGCTTATTTTCAGAGAGCGGATTTACCAGCATACCACTGGGTAAAGTGTAGACTGGTTAGAATACAGATTCAGGGTGGAGACAATGCAAGACAGGCAAAGAGGCTCAACTATCATTACATTCCTCAAGGGCAAACTGCACTTCCCGAATATCAGAAATGCAGAGGACACAAGACCAGAGCAATCATGGTACATGCTGATATTACGGCAGCCAGGTGGAGGACAGGGGCGGTGGATAGATCCAGAAATATCCCTAAGGTAACAGGCTGTATTGGAATGCCTGGACAGAGACACAAGGCAAGGCCTTGAGGGCAAAGTGGGAAGTTGGAGTAAAGACCCTGTTATTAAGTCAGGACCCTCAAAGAGCTGCACCTCAGTGAGAAGGGCGATGAACGTTCCACCCACCGGCCTGGAAGGTGGTCAGAAAGCTTGCTGCCACTCTGGCTGTGGGTGGAGGAGAAAGTATTCCGGTAAGAAATCAAAACCCCAGGTCTGGACCTCATGTGGGTTTAGCGCTCAAACTGACACTCTGCACAGGTTGCAAAATTCCGAAACTGAGAATTTAGCGTAATCTCAGGAGCTGCTTCAGAAGGCAGTGCAGGCGGGCTTCTTCTAAAGGAACACGTGCACAACCCTGTAAGCAAGGCTCCCCTGTATCAATACAAAGCTTTAAAAATGAAAAATAAGATCAACTCACAACAACAACAAAAAACAGCGAAACACACACAGTTTGCATGAGTCAGAAGGAAAAAAACAGAACATTCCACAGTGCAGACGGCCTGAGGCTACTGTGGTGGGTATAGAGCAACACGTGGAAAGATGAGCTCACAGTCAAAAATTATGAGATGCACAAGGGAGCAACCCACCATGAGAGTCAGCATCACCGTGATAACAGATCACTCTGAAAGAGGCTATGAAAGGTCCTTTGGCTGCAGTGTGGCAGGTGGCTGCGGGGAGAGGCTGGAGATAAGGGGACCAGTTAGGAGGCGGCTGGGCTGGTCCAGATGAGAGATGGAGGTGGCAAGATTAGAGACGATGGGAATGGATAGAATTTGACGATGATAACAGAATATTACAATCATTTTACTGATGAGAAATCTGAGGCTCAAGATGTCATTTCCGCAAGGTCAAGGCAGAAATGAGCCTTGACATCGTGAGTGAACGTTCATGCTCTTTATCACACAGAGGATTCTTTCCCAGAGCAGAACACCCGCAGGCAGAGAAAATGCTTTCCATATCCCACGGTGACCAGCATCTGTATTAACAGTGGAAGTGGGAAGACACGAGGGGTTGGTGGCCTCATTCTCCCTCCCCACCTTGAGTCGTGGAGGTGAGAGCCCGCCCACTCTCTGATGCCTTTGGGATGCAGACTATCTGCTCCCTCTTACCTGCTGCTCCAGCTCCTTCCTGGACGCCAGCTCTGAGTCCAGCCTCTCCTCGAACTGCTGCAGGCGCTTTCGGAGGAACCCGTTCTCCATCTGAGCACAGTCGAAGCGCATCTGCCACTCGTCCGCTGTTGAACAGAGTCAGGGAGGCCGGATGGAAGGCTAGGTGAGTAGGGGTGGTTCGTGTCCACTTGCTTAGCTCTTTGTACGCAATTTCACAGTGTGAACAGAGTTCCTGAGGCCTGACCTGGGACCTCCGGTTAGGAAATCTTGCTCTAAGTCCAAACTTAAAAAACAAACAAACAAAAATACATGCTTCCTCTAGGCAGCCTGTGCTGACCACCTCCAGTTGTCTAAAGTCATTGAATGCTCACTATTCTAAGCTCAGTTGTTTTATACGGTACAATTTCTCCACAAGTGCACACATACCTTTCTTTAAAAAAAAAATCCCAGGGTAGGGGAGATGTTTCAGTCATTTGTGGATCCCCAGGACCCTCTGGAAGAGCTCCCTACACACACGAGGGTCCCATGTTGATCCAAGTTCACCAACTGGAACTGTCCAACTGGACAACTGGCCAGTGGTTTACCTGACCTCCCCATGGACTCTGCAAGTTTCTTGAAAGCAGGACCCAACTACAATTCTTCTGTGGCCCCTAAAGTGTCCAACTCAATGCTGGGCGCATGCCATAAAAGTTCCCTTTAAATACCCCATCACACACGGAGGAAAACAAAGATGCTTTCAATCATCTCTGCTCAGGCCTGATTCGTGGTGGAGGCTGTGGTGGCACTGCGGTGATGCCAGGCAAGTGCTTTATGGCTTCCTCCAACTTTCCTACGTTTCAGAAATGCTCTGTAATGAGTATGTATGACTTTCATAACGAAAAACAAAATATTTGTGGGCTGGCTTCCTGGAAATGAGCACACAGAGCTGAGAGCCCATATAACATCGTGACTAATGGCACATCTCCCCTCTCATCAACACCCATCTCTCTCCACAGGAAAACAAACTGGGGGGGGGGGTACCATTTAGACATAAATCACAGCCGGGGTGGAAATGCAGCCAACGCTCCTCTGGGGAAAGCGTGCTGTCCCCACTGCTGGTTCTGTGCAAACGCCTCCGCCACGCCCAGCGTGTTCCCTACCTAGTTGGGTCTCCGTATCAGAGAATCTCAAACTCCTGAGTATTAACCTCTCTGGTAGGTGCCTGCCCTGAGGGTAGCCGGGATGAGAGGAGAACAAGAGTGGAGTAGAAAGCCTTGCCTCTTCTCACCGCCTCCAGCCCTCCGTTCCCGAGTGTCCCTGACATTTCTAGGGCATAAACTCTCTAGGGGCATGGGAGGAATGATGTCAGCGTTTTATAAAGCTGACAGACACACTGGGCATCCTTCTCATCTAACTCGCTCAGACCGGGGAGAGGAGCTGACAGAGATGTCACCAAGCCCATCCAACCATGGCATGCGAGTCCCCAGGCAGCTGAGTCAGGCGGCACCCCCAGGAGTTCCTGGCTCTGCTGAGCACATCTGTCCCGGGGCGATTCGGGGTCCTCTCACCTGCTCTGCCATCGCTCAGCAACTGCTGAGCACCTGACACTGCTTTTAAATGGGGGGAGGAGTACCTTCTGCCCCACCGGTTGGGACCACAGATAACGATCCCACTATTAGTACAAATAGTAATAATGATCAAGTAACTAACAGCTATCCAGCACATGGCTAAACACTATTAGTCATCTAAGACTACGTGCATTTGAAAATGGAGAAAAAAATACAAGACACAACTTCTATGCCCAGAGCCACTCATCTAATAAGAGATAGAATCTAGATTTAAATCCAGAAGTGCCGTTTCATAGATGCCACTTTTAACCACTGAAATGCCTTCCTCAAAATTTATATGAAAAGTATTCACATATATAGAAAGGGGCCTTACCGTAGAGCCACTATTTATTTAAATCACTACTTGCATTATTACTAAAGGGCACCTGCCACATGGAGAGTCATTATTTGGGATATTGTTGGGTTACCTGTTTAATGTCTGCCTGGCCCACTAAGCTGTAAGCGCCAAGAGGGCAGGTGAGTTTGCTCTGTCAGAGTCTCCACCCCTAACGCAGTGTCTAGTGTAGTGGTTCTCAACCTGTGGGTCGCGACCCCTTTGGCGGTCGAACGACCCTTTCACAGGGGTCGCCTAAGACCATCCTGCATATCATTTACATTATGATTCATAACAGTAGCAACATTACAGTTATGAAGTAGCAATGAAAATAATTTTATGGTTGGGTCACAACATGAGGAACTGTATTTAAAGGGCCAGAAGGTTGAGAACCACTGGTAGTGCAAAGGAAGTCCTTCATGTATATGTATGAATGAATGGATGGATGGATGGATGAAATAAAAGGACAGCTTTTGCCACTAGCATCTATTTGCAAGGGCTCCAACCTGCTCACCTCCTCCAGTGTGACTCTTCTCCAAGTCATTCAACTGGATTTTCTGCTGGGCTTCTTGCAGCTGCTTCTCTACTTCTCCCAGATTCTGCTGGACTTGCTCACACTTGCCCTGGAAGAAAAGCCTCAAGGGTTCCCACTGCAGCTGGATAGAGACCTGGGCTGGCCGACGCACCCATGGCACCTCCCTCACCAGACGGGCCATTCCCTGCACAGTCCTCACCATGGAGCCTCCACAGCAGGGACCACCCCATCCTCACCCAGGGCACCTCCAAGGCCAAACCGCAGTAAGACCCAAATGTCCTCCAGGACCTCGAGCATGAGAGCATGTCTTACTTAGGCTTCCTGTTCCCAGGTGTGAGCACAGGGGGACAGGCCCACGCACTCCCAGCCAGCCTGTGTGTACACACACACACACACACACACACACACGCACGCACGCACACACACACGCACGCACACACGCGCGCGCACACACACACCTGCCACCCATGACCACTCACCTTCAGCTCCTGAACCTCCCGGAAGGCCCGTAGCCGCTCGGCCCGCTCGCTCTCCAGCACCTGGCAGGCCACGTCCCCTTTGAAGCGCTCGTCGGCAAGCTCTGTGGTCAAGTCAGCGATCTGGAGTGAAGAGGGTTAGAGCGGTGTCACTCGGTGGGGCCGCCCACACTTCTCCCCCCACACCCACTCCACAGAACTTAGAAACAAAGCAAAAAGGAGGCTTAAGGGGAGCGTTTTAAAATCACACAACAAATAAGTGGCAGAGCTGGGACTTGAACCCAGATCCAAGTAATCAGCACCAGTTAGTGAAAGGGAAGCGCTCCCAGGATGCTTTTGGCTGGCTGTGGATTAGGACTTCCTTTTGCTATTCCTTACCCGGCTGTCTTTATTTGTTATTATTATTATTATCATTATTATTATTACCCTACTATCTTTAAAGTGTTCTGGGGAAACACTTGCATTGCAATGATCTGGGATGGTTGTTAAAATGCAAATTCCAGGATTCTTGTATCCCCCAAACCAATTTATCTGCAGCGGGACCCAGGGATCTGAACTTCAACACATCCAGGGTGATTCTTAAGCACAACAAAGTTCGAGAATTATCGCCATAGAAACTGCTAGGCTCTCCTCCTAATCCTGCCTCCCCCTGGGCTTCAGGCGGGTTAGCTTTGCGTATGGGCGCCCTGATGTGTTGGAGCTGGACAAGGGGTCACTTGCAATGGGCCAGTGCGATCCAGGAACGCCCCAGATCACGCTCCTAACCCCACCCCTCGTCTCTGTGATCAGCATTGATCTCAAACACCAGGACTGTGTTCTCTCCTCCTCAGTCAATTAGTGTGAAATCTAATTTGTACTAATCGGCCTGAGCAAAGGGAGCACAAAATTAATTTAATGCATTAATTTTGTGTTCCACAAACCCCAGTCTGCAGCCCAGAGGACAATTAGTCTTTTCAAACTGGAGGAAATGACAGGTGCTCTTCACAGAGGCAAGTAGCCCCTGACCGTCCCCGGTCCCCACAAACCCCCCTCTTCCCACATTTAAGGGCCCAAGGGCTTTGTCCATGAGGGGAGGGGTGGGCCCAGAGCTATTGGGCAAATGCAAAAGGAGCACCCGTGTAACAAGGGGGAGAGCCTGGCTGGCAAGCCCCGAAGGGTCCTCGCAGATCACTCAAGGACCAATTAACTGGAAATTATTCTCAAATCTCCCCTGCATCCCTTGGCCAAAGGGAACCTGTGCAGACCCCCAGCGGAAGGGAAGCCCCATCCCCGCCAACCTGAGAAACTTGAAAATCCTCCTCCAAGAAGCCCTCCCTGACCCTACTCCCAGTCTGGGTAGATGCTCCTCCCCTCTCACAGCCTGTCTGGAGTCAGCCAGACCTGGGTTCAAATCCCAGCTCTGCCACTCAAAAGCTGTGTGATACTGGACAAATCGTTTTTTCTCTCTGAGCTTCTCTTTCCTCATCTAAATGTGGGGGTACTAACACTTTCCTCACAGTCTGATTTGAAGGTAAATCTAGATAATGTGGGTAAAGGATGGATCATAGCACCTGGCACAGACACAGTGCTCATTAAATGTTACTTTATGAAATTCGGCATTATCCCATTCATTCATTCAATTGGCACTGAATGCTTTGAGAGGCAAAGTAATAGCTAAGATGTATCATTATCTTCAAGGAACTCAAGTCTGCTGCGGGGAGCTGGGTAAGAATTCAAATACATATTAGTAATAGTGGTGATGCGTGAAGGCTTGGAATTTGTAGTAACTACTTTATATGCACCCCCTCACCACGATCTTAGGGAGAAGAATTCATAACTGGTACTGTCACCATTTTACTAATGACCCAGAGGCTCGGGGACCGGGAGAATTTTCCCACAATCCCACAGCAATAGGTGCAAAGCCAGCTGTCCTGATTGACTGTCCACTGCTTCACCAGCTACGCCAGCTCAGGTCGCCCGTCGTGCCCACACCTGACCGGGCACAGTTCCCCACTCCTCTGTTCATGTTGCGAGGTAGGTAGGAAAGAGATCATGGCTCTAATGTTTATATGGGGAAACTGAGGCACGCAGAAGGAACAGTCCACTGTGGTCATCTGTGAACACACCCACGGTATGGCCACAGAACCTCCACGGCCTGTCTGCTGGAAACACACCCTCCCAGCAGTGAAGGCCCAAGAGGCCCTGGCATCTTGAGTCAGACAGGAAACCAGGTGTCTCACTCCCTCGGGGACTAGGGACCACCACATCTGTCCCCACAGAGGCGCAGGGCTGTGGCCGAGCCCAAGGCTGCGAGTCAGAAGACCTGGGAGACCATCTAGGCTCAGGAACCACTGGGCCCCGTGACCCTAGCACGACCCTCCGCACCCTGGAGATAAGCTCTAGCTCCGCAGCGCTGTGCAAGTGAACTTTCCCACTGACATCTGCGGCCCCTGCTGGACCTGCTGGATTCGCCCAGCAATTCCTCACCGAAAAGGGCCACAATTCCTCACCGAAAAGGGCCACGGCTCAGACTAATGAGGGCAGGCGCTGGACTGCACGGGCCTCAGTCTTCTGCCATAAATACGCTCCTGGGAAACGCCTAAAATATCTTCCAGGGAGAGAAGAAGACACGCCTCCCTCATACATCCTCAGGAGCTCCCGCAGCCTTGGAGGTGCTTCCTGCAAGAAGACGGGCCGCTTTCCTGAGAAAATCACAAGCCCCGCTCCGCACCGAGGCCGGCTGTGCACGCCTGAGGAATATTTATCGCCAGCCTCTCCTCATCTCCTCTCTGCTCCTTTGCAAATGAAGCACTTAAATCATTTTGCAATAATGTTGTTTTTTAATAAGCCTAGTCTAACGGAGTTTCCAATGATGAGGCACAACATCCTTCGGGGAAGTTTCTATTGACTGTTTGCCCTCCTACCGAGACCAGGGGATGGGGCGCAGAGCCTGTGAACGGGGTCGGGGTGCCCTCATGACACATGGCCCTTCGGGGGTGTCTGCTCCCCAGCTGCTAACAGAAAGTTGCCAAAAGAAAACAGAACCCCATGCACGAAGGAGATACCTTTCATCTGTTCTCTAGTCTAGTGTTTCTCAAAGTGTGGTCCGCGGACGAGCAGGCTCAGCAGCACATAAGGGCTTAGGAATGGAGAAGACCCAGGGAGGAATGGAGAAGGCCCAGGGCCTTCCACACCCACTCACTCAGGATCTCTAAGGCGGGGGTCCAGCAATCTATATTCTAACACGTCCTTCAGGGGGTTCTGGTACACTTTCAAGTATGGGAACCACGGCTCTAATGCAGCCAGACACCCCTCCCCACTACCCCCCTCGCCCACCCTCCCACCACTGCACCGCATCGGGAACAGCTCAGGGCTTGTTAAAGAAGCAGGGAAGGACCCCTCCACCACAAATCCCTCCTGGATCTTGGGAGATGGGGAATCTACAGGGTTAACAGTGATTCTGAAGCTCTTGAAAGTGCCAAAGCAACCAGCATAAATCAACAGTAGCTTTTGGGAGGGGAGGGAAGGGAACCACATCCCTTTCTTCAAATAAAATCCGACTCAGGCCCCCACACACTACATTTTGCCAAATCTGAGCTGCCATTGATTATAAGATGCACAATTATAGAACCTCAGAAAAGAAAGTGCTGCCAATTTTTGGTGTAATATTCCACTGATTTTTAAGATGCATCCCAATTCCAGAGATGTATAGAGGTGGAAATAATGTGCATCTGAGAATCAATAAAATATAGACTTAAACCAAAAAAGTGCATCTACTGTCATTGATGCAGGTTTGGGGGTTCTGGAGCCCTTTGATCTCTTCCTTGCCTGTCGGCAGTTTTGAAGAGATGGGGGCTTCAGAAAATACAACTTCAAATTACTGCATCAAAAACATCTAGCCACGGAATGGAAAAAAAGATCTGGACTGCATCTATCCAACAACTGAACTTGTATCCACAAGATATAAAGAACTGCTACAAATCAATTAGAAAAACAGCAGAAAAGACTTGAAAGATCACTTTGCCAAAGAAGACAGCCAGAAAGTTGCAAATTAAAATCACAATGTGGCATTACTGCACCGTGCCACACACACACACACACACACACACACACACACACACACACACACAAATTGCTAAATGAAAAGGCAGACACCACCAAGTGCTGGTAAGGATATGGAGCAACTGGAACTCTCACCTGGTGCTGTGGGCGTGTAAATTGATACAAACACTTTAGCAAACTGTCTGGCAATATCTATTAAAACTGAACATAGAAATAACTTAAAACCCAGCAATTCCACTCCTAGGTCTATTCCCAACAGAAAGGTACAACAGGGGCGTCAAAAGGCAGGTGCGAGAATGTTCTCAGCAGGCTTATTCATCATAGTTCAAAACTGGAAACAACCAAATGTTCATTTCGTTTACATATCACTTCCAAATAGTCAAATGTATCACTTACCCCTGAGATTTGTGTTTTGAATTGTTTACGATTAAAGAATTCCCTTTGGAGCCAGATGACATGAGTTTCAATCTCAGGTCTACACTTGCTGGATAAATAGTGATCTATACACATAATGGAATACTATGGAGCAATTAGAATAAATGATACACAATCATTTATGACAACGTGAACGGATGTTACAAACATAAATGCCAGATGAAAGGAAGCAGACACAAATGAGTATCCACATTTGACTGCATTTAGGTAAAGTTCAAAAACAGAAGAAAACTAATCTTTAGTGTTAGGAGTCAGTTGGGGGGGGCGGTTTGGGGAGAGCTGAGAATGATCTGTGTGTCAGTCTGGGTGCTGCCTGCACTGACTGGTGAGCTCACTTTATAAAAACGCATGGAGAGGTAACCTTAGGATGTGTGCACTTATGTGTATGTTGGACCTTCATATAACGTTTCAGGACAAGGAGGAAGAGGAGGGAGAACAGGAAGAAGAGGAATGAAAAGGAGTTGGGAAGGAGGAGGCAAAAATATAACACTCAGTCATCCAATGTGAGATCAAGTTACACTCCCGCCAGCAGCTTTTAAAAGTTCCTGCTGCTACATATCCTTGCCAACACTTGGCTACAGGAGACTTTAGATTTCGCCCCTCTGAAGTGTGAAATGGTACCTCTCGTGGATCTGATTTGCATTTCCTGGTTGCTAGTTAGGTTGAGCATCTTTTCATGAGTTTATTGGCCATTTGAATTCCTGAACATTTGAACTCTTGAAACTCTTGGGCACTGCAGATTCCTATTTTTTTTACCCACTTTTTTCCTGTTGGAGTGAGTTGCCTTTCTCCAACGACTTGAGGAAGTTCTCTACATATTCTGGATACTCTTTGCCAGTTATAAGTGTTGCAAATTTCATTTCCATGTTTGTAATGTGTCATCATTTTATACTTTGGTAAACAGAATTTCATTTCTTACTTTAAAATAGTCAAATTTACAATTTTATCCCTGTGGTTTGTGCTTTTTAGACTTAAGAAATTCTTCCCTTTGGAGCCAGATGACACGGGTTTGAATCTCAGGTCTACACTGGCTGGTTGTGTAGCCTCGGGAGATACTTAATACCCCTGGGCCTCAGTTTCCTCCTCTCTAAAATGGGGAGAGTAACAGCATGCACCTCACACACTTATTCTGAAGAGGTTTGCAAAGTGCTTAGCGCAGTGCCAGGCGCATCACCATCTCCCCCTCAGCAGACCTCACCCTGCACAGGGATGGGGTACCTTGCTCTCTAGCAGGTCTGTGTTCTGCCGGAGTTCATTCCGAGACTTTTCTGATTTTTCTAGCTTCTGTCGCAGAGTTGTAAGCTCCGCCTACAAAAAACAAACACCATAAGCCATTGGGGACCAGAGGCATCGGTTCCAGGACTGTCAAGGCTGGGGACAGAGTGGGTGATTCAGCAGCCCATCTGCATGACGCTTCTACAAGGGACCCTTCCATGCACCCCTGGGTAGTAAGGGTGCATTTACCCAGCACCCAGGAGCCTAGAGAGAAGCTGGGCGTGGATGGATGGTGGTCGGTGCTGACGGGAGCAGAGGGCTATCTGAGGGAGGCAGCCAGCCAGGGCTGTGGGTGGAGCATCCCTGGCTTAAGAACGTTCAGAAATGGGGGTACTGGGTGAGATGCAAGCACCAAGATGGGGTGTGGGTGGGAGTAGCTACCCAGTGCCCTGTCTGCATGCGGACCAACCTCCTTGGCGCGAAGCTGCTCATCCCCGATGGTGGCACTCAGCAGGGGCCGGAGGGAGCCGAGGAGCTGCCACCACGGCCAGTCCTTGACCGCCAGGAACACAGCCACGTTCTTCTGGATGCACCGTGAGGCCAGTCGACGGATCTGCAGGGAAAGGAGATGGGAAATGGAGGGTCCTTCCCAGCCTGGCGAAGGTGAAGGAATGTGAAGAGGCAGAGGGTGGCATGGATGGAGGAAATGGGTTTATATCCTTGTGAAAGGAATTAGATACTTAAAAATAGAAAAAGCTTCCACGGAATCAGGCTCTCGGCATCAGGCATTAGGCCGCAGTTTAATCTCGCGTGACCTAATAATTATAACAGGATGAGGAACAGAGAACAGTATACAATGGGTCACATCTTATAATCGGATTAGGTACAAAAGTCACCACACAAGGCAGGAATGATCCTTGAAAATCCCTGAAATTGCCCGCTAGAAGCTATGGCCGTGGCTGTGTTGTCAGTTGACATTTAGGGGATAGATATCATTTCGGGTGCACTGAACACGAATGCCGTGCTTCTCAAACCTGAGTGCACACCAGAATCTCCTGGAGGGTTTCTCAAAGCACAGACGGACTCAGTAGATCTGGGGAAGGGCCATTTTACACATAGGGAAACTGAGGCACAGAGAGGTAAAATCCCGTGCCCAGTGTCAGCTTCTCAGTGGCAGAGTCAGGATTTGAACCCCTGCCGTCTGACTACAGATAGAGCCCGGGCTCTTAGTTAGCCTCTATTCCAAACCACCCCAAGGCCTGAGCTACTTGGATGCAGTGGGCCAGTGGGATTGCCCACAGTATTTTAATTACTAACGTTCTTGCCTTTTTCTGCTTTGGCCAAGTGCATATACTTGAATTTGCAAATTCACATAAGCTGGGGGCACACATAATGAGACTCCATGCTAGTAGGGGTATAACAGTAACAATATTAAATTCATACCAGCTAGAATTTATTGAGCAGTTACTATGTGCCACATACTGTACTAAGTACACATAATCTCATTTCCCCTTTACCTAGCTACTAAGTGGTGGAGGTGGGATTCGAACATAGGTCTTGCTTGTCCCCAGAGTCAAGCCGCCTTCTCTCCATTGTGCAGGCTACAGAGAGAAAACTCAGTCTCTGGGGAATCTGAGAAGCTGGTGGTCCAGGACTGTGGATTCTAAACTGGCCTCTCTGTCCCAAAGGCCTGAGTGGCTGTGTCCAGCCCATGCCCTATCTGCTGACCTGTGAAAGGTGGGACACGCTGAAACCATGAACCGACCACAAAGGCTTGGAAACCTCACGGATATGTAGGTCAAGGTGGCATCATTGGTACTTTGACGTCAGTGTCCTAGAAACAACCATGACATCTTGCAAAAGGCCGCTCCGAGTCTCACCACACAGGGTGCGTCTGTGGACAGTAGCATAGGCAGCATGGTGGGAGACGTGGGGAGCCCTATGCACACCCAGACCCACTGGATCAGAATCTGCATGTTAACATCGTCCCACGGGGGTTGGTGCACGAGGCAAGCGTGGGAGGCGTGGGGTTACAGCCCCGGACCAGCACGGATGGTGCTCCTCCGGCATCTCACGCCTCTGCCGGTGCACGAGGCCTCATACCTTCAGCTTCCTGAACTCCTGGCGCGACAGAAAGCCCTTGCAAGCCGCCTGGAATAAAACGAAGGTGCGGGACACCAGCTTCTCCCGCTGCTTCTCGAGCCTGGAGACCACGCCCGCCTTAAGGAAGACCTGAAAGGAGAGAGAGCAGGGGGTGACTTCTCCCTGAATCAAGATTGTCTAAAGGAGGAGGCGGTTGCCACGCAGACCCCAGTCTCCTGCTTCCACCTGAAGTATCAGCAGCTGCCCTTGACTGAGGGTCTAGATTATCAAAGCTTCACGCCTCATGCCTCCTCTCTGTCTTCCTCTAGCCCCTGGTACTCGGAGTGTGGTCCATGCACCAGCAGCACCATTACTGCTGAGACCTTTTAAAAATGCAGAATCCTGGACCCCACCCCAGGCCTGCTGCATCAGAACCAGCCTCTCAGCGCCATCCCCACGGGATGCAAGCACACGTTCTTTGAAGACCCACTGCTAAGACGGACCATGCACCAGAATCACCCGAGGAGTGAGGCGAATGCAGATCCCAGGCCTCGCCCAGGAAAGGTGTCAGGCCTGGGAGCGTGCACTTTTTAAATAAACACCGTTAACCATCTGAGAGAAGTGGTGGCCTGGAAATACTCAGCCTGGCCTTAGAAGAAGGGACAGAGAATGGGAGGGAGGTGCAGGAGGCCCCCCTTGGTCAGGAGAGAATGGGGCAGGCCCGGCGGGTGCCACCCACAGGAGGTGCTCAGGTATCCGGCAGAAAGCAGCCAGATTTCCAGGCCTTGGCTCATCAATAATGGACGAAGGCCTCTGCAGCAGTGGGATCAATGCCTCCCTCCCCGGCACCCCACAGGGCCGCCTTCAAATAGGCTACAGGGCATACAAAGCGAGGACCTGAAGCTCTGGGGCCAGGCTGGCTCCAGCCCAGGGGGTTGGGTAGCTGAGGCTGGTCTCACCTCCCAGAGGCAAAGGAAAGATGCTCTAATGGGAGCTGAGGCAGAGATGGGGAGGAGTCACGTTGCAGACACCCTTATGCTCACTTTCAAGCACTGGGCAGCTCCACCTTAGTTGGTGATATCATCAGGTCACCGGTGACACTGTCGATTACTGGTTAACATTTCATGGAGCCCTTCCCGTGTCCTGGGTCTGAACGGACCACGTGATATGCACATAGAGCACTGCACAGGCACGGCTCTATGCGGTGGTTAACACGATCTCCCCATTTTAGGGAGGGAGGAACTGAGGCCAGGCCAGGCGGTTCTCCGGGATGCTCCTCCAGCAGGTGGCAACACCAGGGCTCCTTTCCCTCTGACTCCAGACAAGACTGCGATTATCACTGAATGCAATTAACATTTGCATGGCATCTACATTTTTCAAAGCTCTTTCTCCTATGTCCCATTTTACACACACACACACACACACACACCTTCTGAGGAATCTATTGGCTCAGAAAGATCATGTAATTGATTCAAGTTCACATAACCAGTGATTAACTTGAGCCCCAAGCCTTAAGCTCATCTCCTGCACCCATTCTCAATGTCACTGTGAGCCTTCATTTCCTCATTCATTACGATAGGTGCCCGAGGTTTGGGGTTGAACTGCTGTTTAATTCCAGGTGGTACAGAGGGTCTCGATATAGTCTCCATTCCCCTGAACATATTTTCTGTGATGGAGATCATTCCACCAATCCTGCAGGAAACCCGTTCTCGATGAGAAAATGAAAATTAACACACCCAATCGGTGATAACTCTGTTTTGCCACCCTCTGTCGCTTTACAGAACACTTCATATCAGCCAGGGACACCAAGACAATTAGCCTCATTGAAATAAAGACACGATTGACTCATTACCTATCAGATTGCCTCAATAATGACTGTATTAATTTCACAAGCTAGTGAGTCCCACAAGCTGCTATAAAAAAAATCAATGATCAAAGTGATGACAGCACTAGTTCATATATTACAAAAGGCGGTGGGTTCTGCCAAAACCGCTATTGATTAAGTAGGAAGCTTTCATTAAAAAAGATAATTGGAAACGGCCGTACAGAGAACAGGAATAAGTCATCGCCTCGGCACAATCTTATTTTGATTTCTTTTCCTTTTAAGAGCATATCGGCGACCAGAAGGCCACTGCATGTGGAATCCACCTTTTTCATAAATGTCACGGCCCTCAGCACAGGCCTCGATAAGGCACCAGCGGCTGAAGATCACAAAGAAAAATCTAAATTAGTTGCTTTTCATGGGTCCGGCTGCTTATCGGACCAAGCAGAGTGTGACATCCTAATGACACTTTGTAATTAGCTAGTTATTAATCATAGGAAAGGAGCAAAAGGGAGGCCAGACATGATAAGCATGGCCACCTGGGTAGCTTCACCAGGAAGCTGCAATGTCACGCTCCCCAGGGAAACACTGGCCCATTCCCTGCAGGTCATGGGGGGCGGGGGGCGTGAAGGGGGGGGCTGCAGAGGGGAAACAGATACATGTTCAGTGGAGTGACACAGGGTAATGAGTCTTCCACAAAAACAAAAGGGTGAGGGTCCCATGGCCAAACAGTTGGGAAGCTCTAAATACTGTATTTTCCCTCTTGAAAACTTCACATAGGAGCCTACCAGCACTCTGTGAAATTCTCCAAACACTTTAACATTTTTGGAAGAGCTTTTGGCTCAATGCCAGTTTGGAAAAAGCTATTTCTCTCAACTCTGACAATCGTGTTCTTTCTCAAGCCCCTTTTCCTCACTTATCGCTGCCCATCAGCGAGGCCCAGAGTCGTGTCACAGTTGGTGGCAAAGCAAAGTTACGAGGCTCTGCGTGACGACGGGTGTTTCTTCCCGGGTTTGGGGGCAGCTCTTCCCGAGGCTGCGGGAGGCAAACTGAGGTCCAGGATGTGAACTCCTCCCAACCACCGAGGCCGCTGGGAGTTTAACCACCGGAAGTGATACTCCTCAAGGTTCTCCCCTCCCACATGATAGCATTTACCTTCATGGCCTCATAAGAAGTGTGAATAACGCCACTGCACTGCAGGGCAGAAAATGACTAGCCCTGGTGGAAGGAGACATGGAGGGAGGAGGCTCTGAGGTAGGCACGCACGGGGTCTCATCCGGTCCCTGCGTGATGGGCAGGAGGGCGTGAGAAATAAGCTCTCCTCACCTGGCTGTGCCCCACGGCCACTGCCTTCTTCTCCAGATCCAGGGTCAGCAAGAGCTCCTCCACGGCCTGGGGAGGAGAGAAAGGTCAGAGGAGCAGACAGACAGACGACGGGAAACTCCCAAAGTGGACGGTCAGGCCGCCTGGACGGCTGGGAGGGAGAGAGAGGACGACCCCACCTGTCTGTGAGTTTGGGCACACAGAGCCCCACCTCACACCGGCGGTGAGCATGGACTGAGCACCTACTGTGTGCCAGCCACTCTTCTGGGACCTTCACAGACACCATCTGCTTTCATCCTCAAAGCAACCCTAGGTGGGTCATGTAGAGCTGGGCATGGAGAATCATGCCCAGTTCTACAGAGGAGGCAACCAAAGATACAAAACTAAGGGATGGATGTGTCTGCTATGAAAAACAATATGGTGGCTCCTAAAAAATTCAACACAGAATTACCCTATGATCCAGCAATTCCACTTCTGGATATATATATACCCAAAAGAAGTGGAAGAGGGACCTGGATAGATATTTGCACCCCAAAAGGGAGAAGCAACCAAGTGTCCACTGGCAGATGGATGGATTAACAAAATGGGGTATATACGTACCATGGATAGTAACAGGGTTAAAGGGGAAGGACATTCTGACACCTGCTACAACCTGGGTAAGCCCTGAGATCACTATTCTAAGTGAAATAGGCTGGTCACAAAGGACAAATACTGCATGAGTCCCCTTATATGAAGTACCTAGAATAGTCAAATTCACTGAGACAAAAGTAGAATGGTGGTTACCAGGGGCTGGGGCCAATGGGGTTGGGGAGTTGGTGCTTAGTGGGGACAGAGTTTCAGTTTTGCAAGATGAAAGAGTTCTGGAGCCCCATGATGGTGATGGTTGCCACTGAACTGCATACTTAAAACGGTTAAAATGATAAATTTTGTTTTGCATATTTTACCACAAAAATAAAACTAAATGAAGGCATCTCTTCAATGCTACAAGGTTAAACATGAGCAAAGCCAGATCTGAACTGAGGCCTGTCTGGCGACGCTGTAGCATCTGTATCTTACTGCTTTGCATAACTTACTGCTCAGCTCCAGAGGACTCTAAGCCTCTAGGAAATATCCCCCACCCCCGCCTGTGTCACTAAAGTCCCCCGTGACAGTCACCCCAACACTCTGTCCTTCCTTCATTGTACACACTAGAGACTGCCTCACTCCCCAAAACTTTTGCTAAATAAATGACCCAGCCATTGACCTAGATTATAGAGGGAGAAGCCTGAGTTTAATTCATCTCTTATTCCTCCACTGCACCTGGTACTGTTCATGCATACAGTAGGAGCTCATTCAACATGATGACTGAATGAATGAGTACCCATACAGGAGAGATTGGTGGGGTTAAGGGTGAGGGGATGGGGGTGAGAAAAGCAGACCCATGCAAGAGAAACAAATTCACTCAGAGCTTCCTGGATGCAGCAGTAGCCAAAATCCCAGCCATTTAATGGAATTTTCCGCTTTGCATCAAGTTGAACAGCCTTGCCAGAGATCTGTACCCTCGGACAGGTACAGGCCGTGCCTGGTTTCTCTGTGACTGCCAATTCCCCTCCCACTCCAC